TACATGGCTACGTGAGCTTGGGGTTGCGGTGGTTGCGTCGTATACCTCTTGTAGCAGTAGATCGCCGAATGGCCATGTAAACGGCAGATCTGGCACCTCGGCTGTCCGCGACCACCACGGCCTCCCCGGTGTTGGCCGCCGCGGCCTGGTCGTCCCCTACGTTGCTGCTGCCTGCCATCGCCATGCATTCCGCAACCAGTTCCTGCATACATGGCAGGTGGGCGACGCCGGAGTCCAATGATGGATAATCATCCACTAATATGAACTCATGCGCCTGTAAAAAATCTGAAAGGTGCGTAAGGGTGACTGCCGCTCCGGTTGCCCTTCAAGGATGTGGCGAGAGATTTCAGCTCCGGTCGCAGGCCCCGTATTACATATAAATTCTGCTCCATCAACGTGAGCAGGCGTCCGGTTTGAATGAGGGCTTCGACCAATACGCCGGCTCTCCCGAGATAATCCGCAGTTGTCGCATTACCTTGCCGTAACATCTGAAACTGGTTCAAAAGGGTGAGACACCGAGCTTGGCTGGAGGACCCAAGCGCGCCGGTGATGGAGCTCCATATTTCCGCCGACGTATCCCGGCCGAGTGCAAGATGAAGAACTTCATCCGCCATGGACGAGACAAGAAGAGACACGATGGTCTGGTCTTGTTTAACCCAGCTGTGATACGCTGGATTGGCTACCGCGACAGTCGCGGTTGAGGTGGCCGCCGAGTCGCCGGTGGACGGAGTTCCGAGCACGGTGGCCGGCGGACAAGGAAAGGTGCCATCCACGAACCCCAGGAGATACTAACCGCGGAGGAAAGAAAGCAGCTGCATTCTCCAGAAGAGGTAATTCTTGAGGGTAAGCTTCATGGTAATGTAATGATGAGCACCGGATAAGGAGTTTCCGGTCGCCGGCGAAGCATTTCCGGCAGCAGAGGCAGTGCGTTCGGAAGACATCGACATTAGCGTGGTGTCGCCGGCGAAAGAGGGTGAGAGGGGGAAGAAGTTTGTGGTGGAGGTTGGAGAGGATCGGATAACCTGTGTCTGATACCAGATTAGAGAATTCACCTCAGATTAGATTTCACAAAGGATAGAATTACAGAGTATATCGTAGAACTAATCTCTAACTAATCCTAACTAATAGAGAGCTAAGTCAAATAGAATTACAACCACTAATCTATGACTATACATTATAAGAATAATAAATATAAAATACTAGTCATGCTAACAATTAGGAAATCTTAAAAAAAAAATTAAAATCTGATCAATCTGAGCCATTCATTTGATTAAAAAATTTGACCGCCATTTTTTTTTACCCATTATAGGCCTAACTCTCTTGGGCTCTTATTAGTATATAATATATATATATATATATATATATATATATATATATATATATATATATATATATATATATATATATATATATATATATATATATATATCTTAGATTCTATATTATTTTCCTAAGTTGAATGCTTTAAATTATGTCTAGTTTTGGGGATTTTACAAAGTGACTCATCCATCCTTAACCAAAGGTCAAGGGTTCGATTCTTGGGTTTGAGAATAGAGCAGCCTTAAATCTCCAGGCCAGCTGTCCCACTTAAAAAAGAGACGCACAATTCAGCAAGGGGATTAGTCACTGTGTTCGACGGTGGAGATCCTGCGTATAAAAAAAAATAAAAAGAATTTAAAATTATAAAATTACCAAATAGTCATAGAAATTAAAATAATTATATAAAAATTGTAACAAAAAAATAAAAAATTAAATGTGAGAATGTTAATAAAATCGCGAAATTGATCAATCAAAATAATATTTCTATATATCCGTATGATATCATGTGTTGACAACCGAAGACCACTGAGGCTTATCAACGTGATGAGGATTTAATTGGTGACCTATGAACAGATAGATGAGATGAGATGAGATGAGATGGCGTGGTTCAAATTTGTTACGTTGTCACAATATAATGCAACAACTGATGCACTATGATAAGGTGTGATGTCTTTTTTCGTCACAAGCTGCAACTACGCCAACACAATTATTGCCTCTTAATTATTTCTTCTGCATGCATTTAAAAAATGCATTTATCCTGCAATGTTGTGATTTGGTCTGACAATCAAGATTATTATTTTTTTTAAATTCAAGTATTTAGGATTATAATAATAATTTATTGACTTTTTTAAAAAAATAAATAAATTCAATAAGCATAACTGTGACTCTCTCAAATGGAAGATCACATGTTTAAATCTTAATAGGAACATTAACTCCTTTGTATTTCAATAGATTGAAATGGACAAATATATTACATTATAACAGAGTCAATAGGACTAAATAATAATAATAATAAAGTAATAATAGTTCTTACTAGTTTAATTAATAGTGTTGGTAGCAAATATTTATTTTATTTGTGATGCTTGTGTATGCTCATGGATCAAGTAATAATGACATACTGTAAATTAAACTACAAATAGAATTGATGGTATATCCATAATATTTTAAGTTTGACTCTTTATAAAAATAATTTATTATGTTTCTTGATTTGAGCTGGTTAGAGGTGGTCGTCGATTTGGATAAAATAAAAATAAATATTAAGAAAAAAATTGAGAGTTCATCACAATTGTCAATCTAAGAATGATCAACGACTTTAAAGTAAGGGAAAACACAATGACCTTTTTGGTAAATGTTTTCAAAATGATTAAAAGAAGCTAAGAAAAGACTAGTAATAAAATGCATTGTTATCTCATTACTTAAATCAAACATTCTTCATTATAGTACAATTTTTAATTTTCTAATCCAAAATTATATTGTTTCAATTAGAACATACAATTTATTACAAATTGATTTATTATGTTTTGAACGAAATGTCATGCCATTCTAGGAATTTAAATGTAATTTATTATCTAAACTATTTTATGAAAAAAAAATAATTAGTGTTTCAAAATATCAAAAGTCTACAAAGAAAGAATTTACATATAAGTGCAATTTACGTCTCAATCATATAGACAAGAAGAACCTATAAATTCACACTATAGCTCCATAACATCTCTTTAAATCACTATTATTCAATCCAACAATATTACTACGTCCATTATAAATTTATAGGCATCGATCTACAGTGATTTTTTTTTAAAGAAATTTAACTTTTATCTACTTATCAATGATCATCAAAATAGAATACTTTTTTGAAATAATCAAAATATAATACTTCATTTCCTTTAAAATTTCATTCTTAGAACATAATTTTTTGTTTTTAATCATAACTTTCTATAACAATATTAATTTTTATCACAGATTAAAAATACTTATTCTAATTATATTAAAGTCAATTATATTTTATATTAATTAACTTTCATATATAGAAATTATATTGATTAATTAATTATTTTAATTTTTATATTAGATATTAATTTAATCATACAATACAATAGGCGTAATATATACATAGTAAATTATAGAGTTAATACCCAAAATGGTCCCTCGACTATGCCATAATTACCAATTTGGTCCTCAATTATCATTCTTACCCAATTAAGTTCTCAACTATGTAAATTTTACTCAATTAAGTCCTCAACTATGTAAATTTTACTCAATTAAGTCCTCAACTATACAATTCTTACTCAATTTAGTCCTCAACTATACAATTCTTACCCAATTTAGTCCTCTGTATTAATTTGACTGTTTGTTGACTGTCAAAAGTCAGGATAAAATTATAATTTTACAAGATTTCTCCTTCCTCTTCATTTAGCAGCGCCAAACCATGCAGCAATACACTCTGATCAGATTTCGATCGTCAAAAAATCGTTGGAAATCAAATTCATGGGCTATCCGATGCATAACCACTACTTCGATACTAACAGGTTTAGAACCCAACCGGAGCTTATTGCTACATGGTTTGGCGCTGCTAAATGATGAGGAAGGAGAAAACTTGTAAAATTACAACTTTATTTCCACATTTGACAGTCAACAAACAGTCAAATTGACAAAGGACTAAATTGAATAAAAATTGTATAGTTGAGGACTTAATTGAGTAAGAATGATAGTCGAGGATCAAATTGGTAATTACAACATAGTCGATGGACTATTTTGGGTATTAACTCTAAATTATATATGACTTTACATTAACAGTAAATTTGGGTGTGATAATCTTACATAGTCCAGAAAGATACTCCTTACGTTATTCATTAATTATTAATGTAATAATATATGAACATCATTAATGGAAGAGTAGTATTGTTACCGACAAATGACAACCTCAATGGACCAAATTCCAAACTAAATTATTGATTAATAACAACCACATGGTTATAATATAAGATTACGAAGAAAAGTAGACCACATCCGTTGTCTTTAACGCTGATGGGTCCCATATTCATGTGATGCTATCTTTTTTCTGACACCCCCCCAAAACAGACATTCAATCTCAAAATGCTTTTCCCCTATTAATTTTAATTTTTTTTTTAATTTTTTGTGGAGTTACTAATTTACACAATTATATTTTAATTATTTCTTTATTTATTAACATTTTAAAAATTTTAATTTAATTATAAATATAAATTTAATAATAATATTATTGATAATTAAATTTAATAATATAATATAATTGATAATTGTAAATTTGATAACAATATTAAAATATAAAAAAAAACTGGCAGCATAATTTTTTTTAAAAAATTATGTTATTAAAATTAAATTAAGAATTAAAGAAAAAAAAAAACTGGTTGTTGCATCAATTAAAAAAATAAGAAAAAAGATGAATTAATTCAGAGTGGCCGTCAATTGGCGGATACTCTAAGGCGGACGCGTGCCCGTGCGTTCAAGGTTGAAGGTTATGCACATGAAGACTCAAAGTTATGCACCTCAAGGTTTAAAGTTATGCACATGAAATTCTAATAATATTGCAAAAGTTTGAGGGGTGAAAGTGAAATTATCCATTTAAATGAATTTTTTTTTTTTTTTGAGATAAATCCATTTAAATGATTAGTTCTTCAACATGTACACGTATTCCTTCAACTCCTGCAACGTGATGCGGTAAATACCCCACAGAGCATGCATGCTCTTTTTTGTCGGTCCATTGAATCACCCTTCAAATTTCTAAACCAGCTCCAAATCCTACATTTTTTTTTTGTGATTTAAAAATTCACCCATTCTTGAAAAGCAAAAATCCCAGCAAAAATTTTGGATTTCTGCCATCGGATTCTTCTCGAGATTGCTCTCACATGGTTTCTGCACAGCCCTTTATTCTAAAAATCGATTCTTTTTTCCTGTTTAATTACTGGGTTCTTTTATAGTTTTATTCTCTTGTAAAAATCGCCCCGTATTATTATATATTATATTTCTACGGAGCATTAGATTTCATTTGTTTATAATTTTGTGAGTTTGTGTGTTGTACGAGTGAGTTGTTGGTGATAATAAAGAAAATGGTGGCGGATTGGAAATCATCATGGTGGCGATCTCTGAGCAAGCAGAACCACTTGATTGTGAAGTTGGGCATCTCTGTTCTCCTTGCCGGTCTAGCTTTCAGGCTTCTCTTCTCTAGATCCATTGATATTCCTGACGGTGCAGAAACGGAGATCATATTTCTTGAAGATTGTGAAGTTGCCCCTACAGGTATTCCAATCATGGGTTTGTTTTGTTTTGTTTTGTTTTGCATTTCCCTTTTTTTGTCAAATTTACTTTGCTGGTTTTTACATTCTGGAATAGTGATTTATTACCCGATTGGGAAAGTTGTGGCAATGATTGCTTATTAGTTCAGATGTTTTTGAAGGGCATTGTGAATAATGCATAAATAGTTCCAGGATTTTAAGTAAGAATGGGTAAATGCAGAAAGGAAACATCTGAAGATCCATATTGGCAGTTGGGTTTTCCCTGTTTTGTATGCTGAGTTGTAATTGGCTAAAAAAAATGGTAAATTTAAATTCTTGATGGTACTATATTCTGGCAAACATTTGTCCTGGGGGCTATGAAATTAGAGTGGTTTCTCTTTCTTGTTCTTATTCCTCTAACTAGGTTGTAACAGTCACTTTGATTGCCATGATCTGTTACCTTTCTTTACACATTGGTTTGGTCAATTTTTCGAATCCTCATTTGCTGTCCATTTTGAAGTGTTTTTTGTTTTTTCTTGGTTAGATGAACAGAATGTAGAGCAGTGTGATCTTTTCGTTGGAGATTGGGTTCCTAATCCGATAGGTCCTATGTACACAAATGATTCATGTAAGTTCATCGAAAACCATCAGAACTGTATGTTGAATGGTCGGCCAGATACAGGCTATCTTTACTGGAAATGGAGGCCTCGTGATTGTGAGTTGCGCCAATTTAACCCGAAGAAGTTTCTTGTGCTAATGAGGGATAAAAATTGGGCGTTGGTTGGCGATTCTATAACTAGGAATCATGTTCAATCAATTCTTTGCATGCTCTCTAGGGTAAGATATTATTATGTCTTTTTATTAAGCATATTTGTGGTCTTAACATTGATCTTGCTTTAGAGTGTTTACTAAAACGGGCGATTTTCAGGTAGAAGTAGCAATTGAAATATACCATGATGGGGATTACAAATCGAGAAGATGGTTCTTCCCCTCGTACAACTTCACGATTTCGGTCATTTGGTCCCCTTTCCTGGCAGAAGCAGCTACCTTTGAGGACATAAATGGGGTATCTTCTTCTGAGATCGAGCTGCATCTTGATAGACTTGATAAGAATTGGACTCGGTATTATGATGAGTTAGACTACATAGTATTCTCGAGTGGCGAGTGGTTTGTGAAAACGGCTGTCTATTTCAAGAACGATATGATAATAGGGTGCCACCTTTGTCCCAAAAGGAACTTGACAGAGCTCGGGTTCGCCTTTGCCTACAGAGAAATCCTCAGGAGTTTCTTCAACTACATTATTTCGTCGAAGCATAAAGGTACGATTTTGTTTAGGACCACCACCCCAGCCCATTTCGAGCATGGCGAATGGTTTAGCGGGGGGACCTGCAACAGAACAGAGCCAGCACACGAAGGCGAGTTCAAGTTAAGTGAGATTCACAGGATTCTGCGAGAGGTGGAGCTGCAGGAATTCGAGAGGGTCTCGGGCAATGCAACCGAGGCGGGGGTGAAGCTTAAGCTCTTCGACATAACTCCCCTCACGTTGTTGAGGCCCGATGGCCACCCGGGGCCATACAGATTCTATCAACCGTTTGCGGATGGCAAGAACGGGACAGGCATCAACGACTGCCTGCACTGGTGCTTGCCCGGGCCGATTGATTCTTGGAACGATTTGCTAATGGAAATGGTTAGGTGCCGTTGAGAGGGTATTTGGTCATTCTTTTCTGACATTCAAAACCTCGTTCGCTTGCAGTCTGCCATGAATGAATGCTTCGGGGAAAGTATCGATTGATGGATCGAAATGGTTAGTGATGCAAGTAATTAAAGCACATATTATAGTAATGGTCTGCAACTCTTTCTACCCCTCTGTAGGTTTATGTATAAAAAACAGTAATACTAAATTGGAGATGGCACTTAGTCAGTTAGTCTTTGTTGCCTCACCCATAGTAAATGTACCAATAATTTTTCTTTTTTATCAATACAATGTTCTCAATAAATTAGGAGTCGGTCAATTTAGTTGGTTCCTGGGTCATAGATTATGGACAAGAACACATGATCGAGATTAGACAGTTTCAATATAGGAGCTTCACACCAGGGTATCACGCCCTGGTCTTCCCACCTAATTGGTTGTTGAGTAGTTACTGTGATTTATCATCTACTATTCTTTCAGGCCAGAGTGTGGAGGCTCTGAGACGAGAGAGTTTTGTATTTTGTCTTTTGTAGACAAGTTGGTTAATTTTGTTTGGCCAATTAATCAATATCCACAACACAAACATTAGAGATAGAACTTTGTCTTTTTGAGTTTTTGTCAATACCATGAAATTGCTATACTCTAAAATTGCACTACGCAGTACGCACATTCACATTGAAATGCATACATAAACATCATGTACCGGTATAAGTAAATGCGCACGCATATGTATTATAGTGCACACACGCCAAGTTTATAATACATACACACATCACATGAAAACAGAGTGCACACTAAGTCACAACGAGGTTCACACATGACAATGTAAATGCACAACTACGGAGGCCACAGTGCACACCATTACATTGCCCACGAAAACTATACATATGGCAATCACAAATTTAGACAATATTATACTCAAAAGATAGAAATTTAAAAATGTAAAAATGAACTTGAGTCCATGGTTGAATAGGAAAAGGTGATCTCTTATGCTTAGCAAAATGACGCACATCACAAGCTAAATTCTTATTCCAAGAAGTCTTATGAAAACCACATAACATATGCATTTTAGTAATGGAAAAATGCCAAACATCCATACTAACAGAATTACAATGTATCTCAATAGACATACTGAAAGAAGAAATTTTCTTTGCTGGAGGTTCTGTCAGAAGGTACAACCCATTCTATTCCTTAGGAGAACCAGTCAGCATAATGAAGAAGAAAATGCAGAGAGCTTAATTTATTATATGAGAATGAAGAAAATATTACACAGAGAAAAGATCGATGCAGAGAGCTTAATTTATTCACAGCAAATACATGCGCATAAATGAGGATTGTAGAAATTGAAAATTTTCATTTTCACAACTTTTGTATACATGGACTGTGTAAATATGTAGATGATTTTCTAACTAATCTTGAATAAGTAATAACTATGGACTTATTTTCAAACAAAAAAAGGTAATAACTATGGACTTCAAACTAGGGCTCTGTTCTCTGCAATTCTAAAATCAAAATCATTTCCCAATTCTAAAGAGCACTTGAACATGAATTAGTATACTCTGCAAAATCAATCTCTATATAAATTTAAAAAAATACAAAATAAAGTTACCAATAAACTGAGCTCTAAAAATAAAAAAGTTGAAGATGGTGGTTCAAGTTGGGCGGCCCATCAGGCTATAGCGGACCAAGGTTGCACCGGCCTGTTATCCTTCCACTGCAGAGAGAAAGAGGTTTTCGCTGCTCTGTGAAGCCAGCCTCACGCGGTGCCCTCCAATCTAAGGGCCGAGACGCCTCCACTTTAGCAGAGACTTCACAACCCATCTCACCACTTGGAACGGGCAGGCCAGGAGATAGCACCCCAAGCCCAGCCATCAGAGCAAGCCCAATCGTTCCGCCATCTTAATGCTCCCACTCGGGTTACAGGCTCACGCTACCAAGCCCAGCGAACAGCCCTCCCAGCTAGGAGCTTATTAAGAGAAAATACTTACCGTATGAATTCAATGTGGGAATTTGGTTCACTGCTTAGCCCCCTGATGCCGATGGTTCTCGATCGATCGATCTTCATCAGCACCGCAAAACTCCCTGCCAAGACCAGGAATGCATGCAACAGGAGAAACCCCATATTTGTATATCTCTCTCAAACCCGCCCAGTTCTTCTTCAACCTCTGCAAATTAAAGCAATGATGAAGCAAATCTGGGAGAAGATCGAACTTGCCGGCAGCCAAGAAGCTAAACTGCTAAATTAAAGGAACACTGGTAGTGATGGGGAAGTACTAATTAAATGCAGAGAGTGAAGCGTGATTGAGCTGAGAGAGAATAATTGGATACAGAATCAAGAAAAAGGAAGGCGGGGTGGGGTGTGCTGAGTTTTTAGTAATTTAAGCAGGGAGGGAGGGAGGGAGGAAGATAGAGAATGATAATTTTTTCAAGGACTAATTTTATAATCTTTCTTCCATTTTAGGTGTCGATTCAATTAACGACGTTTGATTAAGTTATTTGTAATTCAAGAGAAAATATTAACTTTGGTCCCACGAATATTAGTAAAAATGACAGTTTTGATCGACATTTTATTTTAGTGTCAAAATTTATCACACCAATCACCCTTTCGTTTAAGACATCCGAAATATGAAATGGTCTTTTCCTACGCTGATTTACAGTCTGAAGTCTACAACAAATCACCATTTCGTTGAAGACATGCCGAAATATGAAAGGGTCTTTTCCTACGCTGATTTACAGTCCGAAGTCTACAACAAACAAGTGGGAGATGCAAGAATTGGACGCTCCAAAATGCTGGATTTGAATTCATCTCTAACGTTATGTGGGCCTCAAACTAAATACAAATATTGTTGGGGCAAAGACTATAAAAAATGCGAGGCTACTACACTGCAAACATCAAAGTATGACATCACAAACTAATACGCGCAATTAGGAGAAAGCGTGTTTATATATAATGTGGTTGCACATACTACCAAGACATTAATTGCAAGAACAATGTATTTTCGCACTGGGAAAAATCTCACTACGGCTTAGTGCAACAATGACGTATATATTTGAGAAGTACCAAATCCCCTATATTTCAAGTTAACATGACACCAGAGGAGACCATTTAACAACGACCACGACATCATAGAGATCCAGATACAATTCAACTTCAACCTCAGGAAAGCCTTGAAATTTCAGAAGGCATGGATATTTTTCAAGATCTGGACGACATTAACACCTTCGACTTCTCAATTCAGAGAACGACTTGCTTTTCATGTTAATAAATATTTAGAATGTATTGGAGTCATTAGTTTAAATAATGTTATATTAGCAGTTCAAGATCTTTTAGATAGATTTCAAAACTACATACTCGATGTACAACAACATTATATTGTTCAAATAAGAACAGATTGAGTATGCTATACGAGATTGTTAATACACATTGTAGTCTAAATATGCATTAACATCAATATCACTCCATGTTGTACATTAGTCAAACTATACGTACTAGCTTTACAATAATAAGTTTTAAGAATAAATTTACAAAACTTATTCATATAATAGAAATGTATTGCTACACCATATACTAGAAAGCTATTGAATACTCTAATAATTTAACTGGAACATCAGTTCCTTCCTACAAGATAAAGCATATTCAGCAGCCTGGAATAAATACAACAGCCAAAATAGAGTCGAGATCTTGAGAACGTTCGTGGCTATTCTATAATTGAAACTAGGCTTCTCCATGGCATATATATAAGAAGCTACACAATTGAATGAGACCATACAGATAGATGCAAATGATTATTAATTATAGGAATAATATATGATGATAAAATAGTTCTGAATTTCCTTTTAATAGGGGGGCAAGGCCAATGAATAATAAAACTAGAAAAAATGCAGTCACCACATATTTATCTAAAAAGTTCACAACTAACAGAGAGCAGGTAGCTAGAAGAGAAACCAACCCAAAATTTGCACTTTATCCATTACTTTAAGTTTGTAATCACATATATATTGATTTTCCATACCAAAATACATACTCCAATGTCATGTGTGTACCAAACATAATAATCTACATTGCAATATATTTTTGAGCCTTACAATTGCTCTTGCCCTCCCAATCTTCATTCATATAATTGTGGGACCTAGCTGCTAACAGGTTTAAGAAAAATAATTAAGGCTCTCTCATTCACAGCAAATACATTGGAGAAATTGAAAATTTTCATTTTCACAATTTTTGAATACATGGACTATGTAAATATCTACATGATTTTCTAACTAATATCGAATAATAACTACAGACTTCAAACTAGGCTGAACTCCACAACGGTTCTATGCAACTCTAAAATCAAAATCATTTCCCAATTCTAAAGAGCACTAGAACATGAAATCATATGAATTAGTATACTCCCCAAATTCAATCTGTATAGACAAAATAAAGTTGACCAACTAAAATGAACCAAAGCATAGAATTAATAGTGAATCACCAACAACCAAAATAATAAATTTTGAGATATATGCATCACTGTCTTTTACAGACCAATGCATTTTTCAATGAAACATAAATAAATCTCATTTACTTGTAAATTTATGATTTACACAAACAAATTGGACAAAGCAGCTCTAAAGTACATCAGCAACTCATAAAACCCCCATGGCCCCATAAGATCAGAGAAGGTCAATAAATTTGCGTGAGGCTTTGCCAAATTCAATCTGTATAAAAAATGAATCCAGCATTATTAAAAAATAAAATTAATGCAAATGAATTGAAACAACTTAGCTCTAAAAATAAAAAAAAGATGGTGGTTCAACTTGCGCGGCCCTTCAGGCTATGATGGACAAGGATTGCACCAGCCTGTTATCCTTCCACTGCAGAGAGAAGGAGGTTTTCGCTGCTCTGTGAAGCCACAAGGATTGCACCAGCCTGTTATCCTTCCACTGCAGAGAGAAGGAGGTTTTCGCTGCTCTGTGAAGCCAGCCTGACGCAGTGCCCTCCAATCTAAGGGCCGAGAAGCCTCCACTTTAGCAGAGACTCCACAGCCCAACTCACCACTTGGAACGGGCAGGCCAGAAGATAGCAACCCCAGCCCAGCCTTGAGAACAAGCCCAATTGTTCCACCATCTTAATGCTCCCACTCAGGTTACAGGCTCGCGCTACCAAGCCCAGCAATCAAATCTCCCAGCTAGGAGTTTATTAAGAGAAAATACTTGGCGTATGAATTCGATGTGGGAAATTGGTTCACTGCTTAGCCAGCCCCCGATACAGATGGTTCTCGATCGATCGATCTTCATCAGCACCGTAGAAACTGCATGCAGCAGGAGAAA